TTCCGTACTACTTCTGCTTCATAAGTCGTGTCCGATCTCGACTTTGCCCAAATGAAGCTCAAAACGTGCGAGTCAGAAAAATCACCAAAACAACTTCGAAGCGCCATATCAAGAGCTATTTGGTAGATACCTCAAAACGTTCCAGATGATGTCGCCATTCTTCTGATACGTCGAGAAGAACTGAAACACGGTTTTTCATTTTTTTTCCGGGAACTGAATGAGATACAACATCTCTGCCGTGCCCTCAAGAAGAGCTGGATTGATCTGAGATATCACAGGGAGAGAGGCATGCTTTGGTGGTTTGATGCCCACTGAAGATCCGGCTTGATCTCAAACAGAATCTGCAAGGAAAAGGATTAGAGCTCGCCGCAAAATTTGTGGCAATAGCAACAACTGCCTGCAAGTGATGGTGAAAGGCCAAGAGACGCCATCATCATTGTGAGGCTGAAAGAACAATTGTGATTGTGAGGCTGAAAGAACAATTGTGATAAGCGATTGTGTGTGTTGTGGAGATATGGAGATACATGGTGAAGTACAACACAGTGAAGTGGTGATGGTGTCACGGTGGCATGTACATGGAGAAATGAGAGGGGAATGGAACGAACGGTTCCGCAGATACATTTACTTAATTGACACACTCATCCTGTAACGCATCTGGTTACGGTCTTGCTTATGTGCCTGGGAGCGACCGAGCGCGGACCGAGCGCGAACGGTCAGCGCGATAGTCGTTGAAAGAGCATCCATCTTTCAGATGTGCCAAGGTTTTGAAGGCCGCACACATTTGCATCAACCTAAAAAGCCCTAGATTGAAGCAAACATGGCCAATTGTCGTAAACGAGAATGTCGGCAGCACGATTAAGCATACTAGAAGAGATGATCCCCAAAAGTGTGATAGCAACGGTATCAAAATCTTGAAAGGGTGTACTAGTACCTACGTGTTGTCTACAACATGGTTTGCAGTGAATTTTGGTGCACTGGGTTGGGACAGACCGGAATATGGCCGATGCCACAATGCGGCGACTTGGGTGCCTGCATGGAATTGAACAGGAGCGCTATTGAAAAGGTTGGTAAATGCCATATTGTGTGGTGGTGACTAACATAGAAAGATCCACATTGGGCTAAACTCAACCAAATAATCAAAATATGGTGGCAGATTCATTGTTGACTTGACCTTGCCAAGTTCTAGCAAGAATTTGAGATCGGACACGACTTATGAAACGGAGGTAGTAATTTCGAATCCACGGAAAAGGAACAAAACAAATAAACAGAAATGAAAACAGCAACCGGCTGCCCTGCAAACAAACAGCCGTACTGGCCAGGAATTCCATCGACCTGATCCGCGCTTGGCGCCATCCCCGCATCGACATCATTGCCAAAGACACATAACAGTACATTGGACGTGCCACAACTAAACAACAATCCAATTTAATGCGCCAGTAAGTCGCAACATGTCACCTGAAGTCATCCAAATTCTCGTTCCAATAAAAACTGACATCGCGGGTATTTTCCACTGTTGAGGCCCAGCCCCTGCGCTCAGTCTCCTTTTCGATTGTCATTTCACACAGCATATTCCGATGCACTGCTAGCCGCTGCGCAGCTCCAATGTGTATGTCAAGACATCCTAAAAGCCTTTAGGGCCTTGCATAGGCTGTCACTGCTTTCTGGCACTTTTGCCATCCACTGCATTCTCCCACTGGCAAGGCAGCTGGGGCAGCACAAGTTGCCAGCATAGTAATTGTTTCTACATCCTGCGTACCCACAGGTGAATCTTTGTGGGCTGCCTTCAATGACACTCATGCCACCATGACCACAAGGGCTAGACAGTTGTTGCAGTTGTGAGCTTCTCCCACATGAAGTGCATGAAAATGAGCCAATTTGCGAGCCCACCCTGACATAAGCGCCAAATATGTCGCAGATGCTTTTGGGGGATGCACCGTGGTTGTTCAGGGAGGCCATAGCCAACAACAGCTCGGGTTTCACAGGGTCGCCTTTGGAATTGGCAACGATGTCTTGCAGGATGATGCATTGGCATTTCGTGCGCAGGTCTTCCATGCCCAGTCTGTCAGCAAGGCCAAGCCACATGGCAGCATCGAGCCATTTCTCAGTCCCATCTTCCACATTCTCTTTGGTTGAACTCAGCGCAGTGGTTTTTGAGGGCTTCATGAAGTAAAGTGAGTCCCCCAACTCGCACATTTTATGTTCAGATATTCTGAACAATATGTCAGCGTCATACTTGTCTCCAAGATGCACCATCGCCCATGCTTCTTGCGCCTGTAGGCCCAAAACCATGCTAAGCAACGGAGTTGCAAGCCGTCGGCTTGTTGAGCTAAAAACTTCAAGCAAATGAGGCCAAGTGCCTTGCGGCATACAGCACAAAGCCAGAATGCCCCTGCAGCTGGCACTCTACCAGTTCTGAACATTTCCAGACCAAAATCCTGTTTAGTAATCATAAAAGCATGCAAGCCAGTATCTTGCAAATTTAGCAAACCCCCGAAATACTTGAATATCTTCCCCAACACATACCGAAGCTCCACAGATTGCACAGTTTTCATCCCCCCGCAATTTTCAACATCCCAAAGTGAGATCTGCAAATCGATTTCGTTGTCTGTGGCAGTTTTGCAGGTGGAAAATGGCAGCAGAAGTTCGGTGGACCAGTTGAAAACCTCACCGATTTCAACTGCAGGATTTGACCATACATAATGGCCAACATCAACCTGGTGTCTTCAGCAGACACGTGGTCGTCCAGCTTTATACACAACTTTCCATCAGCTCCTAGAGATTCATGTTTGCAATCTCCACTCCTCAGATCTGCCAACATATTGCAGAAGAAACCAGAGTGCAGGGCGATGACGGCACCATGGGCTGGTATGTTCTGCCCTTCTGCAGTCAGGGTGATGTCACAGAGTTCGGCATATTCAGCCCTCTCTGGGAGGTACCGCAGAACTTGCTGCGACTCCTCTGGCATCTCTTATCTTCAAACAAGCTGTCTGCCAAGCAAACACATGGACACTTTGCGGTTATTGCTTGGGAAGCCCAAATAACACATGAGATGACATTGTTCCGAAGATGTGTGCCCAGAAAAAACACACCATTTATCCACTGGTTGCGCCATTGGCTGCGATGATCTTGCAGTGATTTGATTGTTACTTGGGCTTGCATTGTTGTGGCATTGGTTGGTTTTGGTTATTGAAATGCTCAAACAAAAGACCATGTGCAGCCTTGTTTATGAATGCACAGCATCGCCACATTTGGTGCAAGAGCGTGGCCACTTGTTCCCGTGTGTTTCTGCTGTGGCATCATCAAAATTGAGAAGCAGTTGTTGGGTTACACAGAGCGGGCTCATCCATCAAGTTCAGGCCAGACAACACAGCGGAGGGGGCTTGCTTGGCGACAAGATGGTTCTTGAAAAAAAATACAGGAATTCCAGGGAAATGGGCAATTCAAACAACATATACGAAGTGAAGAGCATCTCAGGAACCCATTTACCCTGGGACCCACAGACACACGCCCCTTCCTAGCCTACCAGAACGCAACCACAAGACATGATTCTTGGTGTCTGTGGCAAACAGCATACAATGGTGGAGGACTTCATCCCTCCCCAGCATTCCAGTCCACGGTGTTTGCAGTACAGGACTGCGGCCACCGCTGCGTTGGGCTACTTGGAGCCGCCGTTTCCAGCCTGGGCACTGACTCGTCTTCTGACTGGCACCTTCCCGTGCCGCTGATGATGCGGCCTTGTCAAAACAAGGCCCGTGATAACAGTGGCCCACCCCGTCCCACCGACTGACCCGTGGGCCGACCCAAAACGCCCCTGCCTCCCAGCATTGCCCCCGCTTCTGCGGCGCACTGGAGCAGCATCCATGTCGCGCCACGGCCCATCGCGGAGCCCTTCACGGAGGACCAAGGCGCGGAACTCGAGAAGGCCATTAGATCGGTGCACAGTACTCCATCATTCCCTTTTACCGGCCATGAGGTTCAGGGGTGACGCAATCACCACAAAGAATGGGGGACCAACGGAGAGACTGGGAGCTCTCCAAAAAGGCCGTGGCAGGAACTGGATGCCATTCCCCACCCGAAGAGCACACCCGATCGAGATGGCAGGCCTTTCAACGGGATCCCACCGCTGCTTGCGAGACAAGCGAGAAACAAATTCTGCCGGAGCGCTTGACGATTCTCGCCTGTGCGCAGATTTCAGCGGCTTGTGAGGCGGATTGCGTCTCCCTGTCTGATGCACGGACGCTCCCAAACCCCGGACTTTGGCCCATGGGTCCGCCAAAAGGGCCAGCGATGGGGCTCCGTGATCGCGTGGCGCCAGCGCACCTGGAATTCCTGAGGCCCAGGCGCCCCGGCGCAGTCCAGGCTTCGGCAGCGGAAGCCGCGGCGACAACCAAACAGCTCGGGAGCAGAGAAGAGGCTGGGACGGAAAAGGCAAAGCCAGCGCGACAAGTGACAGGGGCTGGCCGGGATGTCACGCAGGGCGTCCTGCGTCGAAGCGTTCCTGGGGGGCTGAGGCGACCGCTCCGTGGCGGACACGGACGGCGCAACACACTGCGCAAATGTTGCGGGGCGCCCGAGTTCAAGGCCTACAATTACTACCTGCACCAAATAGGTCACTTTCTGCACTAAATCGGTGACTACTCGTAGCAAATCCCTCCAAAACCAACCTACCCTAAAACCTAACACCTAGACCTACCCTAAACCTAACCCTAACCCTAAAACTAGGGCTACGACATAGTGTGCACGTGATTTGGTGCAGGCAGTTCAACGCCATTCCACAAGTCGCTGACGTGGCGGTAGGCGTATCTGGCAGGTTGCCCATTCTGCGCATCTGGCAGTGGGCTGCGGCAGCAAACGGCGCCAAACCAAGCTGGCAAGGCCAAGCCGAGACCGGGTCGAGCCGACTGGCTTTGGAGACCTGCGCGAGAGGGGGGGCCGCTGTGCGGGCCGCCGCGCTTCCGCATGCACATCAAGGACCTCGTGATCGATGGCTTCAAGTCGTACGCCGAGCGCGTGGCGGTGCAGGCCTTCGACCCCCACTTCAACGCCATCACGGGGCTCAATGGGACCGGCAAGTCCAACATCTTGGACGCCATCTGCTTCGCGATGGGCATCAGCAACCTGTCCCAGGTGAGCTCGCGGCGGCCCGGCGCGCGGGGTTGGATTTGGCCGGCAGCCCGGTGGCGCCGGGATGCGCGGCCCGGCTGACATGTGTGGACTTGGGCTTGGGTGGCCATCGACTTGGGAGGCAGGCCGGCTTGCATCGAATTGGATTTGGGGCTTGGGGTTTGGACCCGGTTTTCATAGGGGTACAGTGTGATCGAGTGTGGTGCAGTGAGCATAGAGCAGTTGTGTTGACGGCATGAAGTGCGGCATTATTGGCTGGGCCCCTGGGGGTGGTGCTGGCGTTTGAGGTCCGCCATTTGACCAAAAAAAAGTGTCAGGTCCCAACGGGCGAATTCCATTCCTGGGCGAGAATTTTCCGAGACCCGTTTCGGTGCCAGAGTTTTCTTGCCCGTGCAGGTCCGGGCTTCCAACTTGCAGGAACTGGTGTACAAGAACGGTCAGGCTGGGGTCACCCACGCCACGGTCTCGATCACCTTCGACAACCGAAACAAGGGGTCTAGCCCAACGGGATATGCGGACAAGGACACAATCACCGTGTCGAGACAGGTATTGCCAAGACAAGCGCGCCTTGCAGCCAAGAAGTGAACAGGCGATTCGGCATTGGACTCTCAAATGTAATTTGCTGTCTTGGAGTTCGAAAAGTCCGTCAATTGTGCTGTGGTGGACTGCTGTGCGCCATGTTGCCTTCTCACCATAATGCTTCTGCCAGAAGCCCACTCTTTCAGGGCTACAACGTTCCTGCAAAGTGAGGAAGTCACACTGGAAGTGGGTTGCTGTGGGTGGCAGGTCATCATTGGTGGAAGAAACGTGTTTAAAATCAACGGCCATAAGGCGACCCCGAGGTGAGCCTCACTCCACAATGGACAGTCCCATCTGGCACCGACTTTCACTGCAACAATCGGTGGCTGAACGAGGCATTTGTGTGTGGATTTCATTTTCCAGTGCTGTGCAAGATCTCTTCCGCAGCGTGAGGTTGAATATCAACAACCCGCACTTTCTAATCATGCAAGGCAGGATCACAAAGGCAAGTATGCACTGGCTGGCCTGCAAATTCTGCTTTCAATTTTTTGTCAGCACTCAAGTATAGGGTTTGAGGGCTCGGCATGCCTGTAAACCAAGAGTTTTATTTGATTCGTTCATGGGTCAATGACTTGTCACCTGAAGTGACTGTATGTTCCTCCACATGGAACGTAATGATCACCAAGGTCAGTCAGCACTTGGCAAGTGCATTGCAACTTTTAGGGAATGCCTTGCAGCTCTTGCATCGACAAGATTTGCTCACCGTGAAGACAAGCGTTCAGGCACATTCCATTTGCAGCGTAGTACCCAAGCCTGCACAACATTGAATGAAAATAAATCCCAGGTCCTGATGCCAAGTCCTCCACTGGTAAACTGCATTTGATTGTGGGGTTGCACACTTCATCTGTCATTCTTGGCCAATTGTTTCTGAAGTGCCATGCATTTGGATCTGTGATTGGCTCATCACCATCAACGCCTGAGGCCATTATTGTGTTCAAACAAGTTGTTTGCTCCTTTATCGGTCGATCTGGAGTGGCATTCTCCTTCCCATAGGAATACCATTCTTAGAATTATTCAGCAGTTGTTCGATCACAATCAAACTTTCCTGTGGGCCTAGGTTCTGAACATGAAACCCCCAGAGATCTTAGCCATGCTTGAAGAGGCAGCCGGGACAAAATTATATGAGGAGAAGAAGGACAGAGCAGTGAAAACTATGGATAAACGGGATGCCAAATTGAGAGAGATTGACGATGTGAGTCTTTCTTGCACACCTTCAGCTGGTGTAGTTATTTTGCTGCATGTGCTCTTTGGAGTGCTTTTATGTGCATATCATTGAATTCTGGACAACCTGCTGTCTGTGCCAAATATTGCTGCTTCTGACATTCTTGTATGGCCTTTTGAGCGACTTGCAGTAACAAACTTCTTAACGTAGACTGCTGGGAAATTAACGCTGGCTGCTCAACTGACCAGTATGTCGGCTTCTCATCATTGGCTTGCTTCTTCGTTCATTCCAAACCAATTCCTGCTCAAAGTGACATCGGAAGCAATCGACTGAACCATGCCGAAGCCCTTCTCCAACGTTTTCCAGCCAGTGCCAGGGGACTGCTTCGTCACGTCTTGGTAAATATGGCCAATGCAGATTGATGTTCATGCCCATCCTGTGGCAGGTTCTGCAAATGGATCTCCAGCCCAATCTGGAGAAGTTGAGAAAAGAGCGGGATGACTACCTGGCGTGCATAAATGCCAAGAAGAATGTGACGTCTTTGCAACGTTTCTGTGTTGCATACGAGTTCCGCAACTGTGAAGAGTGAGTGAGCAGCACGTCGAAATTTGCATGTGTTTTCAGTTGAACACGAAGCATCCTCTGTTGTGTCGTCGGCACTGCACGGGAAGTGCATGGCATCTTGTGTTACACCATGGAAGGGATTCTCGCAACTTTTCTTTTGAAAATGGTTGCAAGATGGCTGGTGGGGGTGATAGGGACGCGTGAATGCCAAGCCAGGGGCCCCTCAGCATTGATACTCCAACGCTAAAACTTGCTGCTCACATGTGAACTTCTGTTGCTTTTGCTCAGTATTGCAGTCCCTCTGTGTTGGTTTGCATCTTCAGGCAAGAGAAAAGTGGGGTATTAAAAAGACAGGAGTTGCAGGACCAGAAAAACGCCTTGGATGATGAGAAATCGTCAGTCCAAGACTCCCTCAATGAGAGGGAGGCAGCTATAAAGCAGCTCATATTCGAAAGGGACAGGCGTGGGGCTGGAGAACTAAAAGAACTGCAAGCCAATGTGGATGAGTTCTCGAAGAGGTGCCTGTCCACATACAGACTGGTTCTGGTATTGCTGGAGGATTTCAACACTGTGATTAATTGCTGCCATGCCCTGTTATTTTCAGCGTGTGGGGTTTAACTGAGTGCAACATGCAAGCCCATTACTGGCAATTCACTGAGTGGTGCAGTTGAAGCATTGTTGCTGCTGTTGTAGCTTTTCTGCACAAACACATTTGATTTAATTCTCACCTGAATTCAACCAGTTGCTCACCTATGTCTTTAGGATGTCTCCTTGCATGTTTTAGTTGTGGCTGATCTGTGTTGTAATTCTTGCACAAAATGGCAAGTAGTCCACTCTGGCGTTGATAAACTGCAGCTGCCCAGGGCAAGAATTTGTGCCAGTGTAGAGATGCTTCACCCCTGTGGCACAAGTGCAGCACTGAAGGGAAGTTTCATCGCAGTCAACTCCACGCGCATAAATTCTTCGGTGAGCAAGTAGTCTGGTCTGCACACAGGCTTGTACAGGTCACAACTGCAGCAAGCAGCAAGTTGGAGTTGCTGCAGGCCGACCGAGGCAGTCGTGATCAGGCAAGGCGCACACAGTTGTTGATCATGGGAGCTGTCATTAGTGCTGTTAAGGATGGTGCAGGATGGATGTTGCAGTGCATGATGAACACATGGACAAAACAATGTTTGCCTTACATCGGGATTTCTCGCACTCATTTGCTTTCCACTGACATTAGTTATGTTTTGCATGTAACTTCCTTCCATTGTTGCATACCAGATAGAGGTCGCTCTTGAGGAGCTCAACGAGGATCGCATTGAGGCAATGGTCAGAGAAGTGGCCACAAAAGCGGAGGAGGCAAATGAGGCAGAAACAGCTGGGCTGCAAGCTCTGGAAGGAGCGAAGAACGAGCTCAAAGGAGCTGAGGCTGGGGATCTGCGAGATGCATCCAATAGAAGCCTGAATAAGCAGCTTGCCGATGCAAGGACCAGACAGGTGACAGCAATCCTACCCGGAAAGTGATGGCTCTTGATGTTTTGTTCAATTCCAAACTTTAGTCTATGGATTTCGTGCTGGCACGTTTTGCCCCTGTGTCTCCTTGCTTTGGCTTTATTCGCCATGCTCGTGTAGCATTGACTGTGGCAGCTGGTTTCCTCAATGAATGCTAACTGTCAACACAGGTCCATATGTCCAAGGCATTTCTCTTGCAAAAGCTGCTTGGCTGCCACCATACTCCACCAATTGTTTCTTGTCCTTTGTGGAGACCAACACTCTCTGGTCGGCCAAGTAAGGACAGTAGTCTGTGCCCTGGAACAGTGAAACATGACAGAACAAAACTTTGAAGGAGTAAAACACCCACCCACAAAAGATGAGGTAAACTGCTGTTGCGAAATGGCAGTGCTAACTTTGCAGTTGAAACCTAACCTAATACATATAATTTGAAAACTAACCTGACCTAACCTAACAGGTGGAGGTGGAGGGCAATGTGAAAATTGCAGAGAACAAAATTGAAGCCATCAGGAAGGTCCTTGAAGATCAAGAACAACTGCTTTCCACAAAGAAAGATGAGGCGGGTGCTCTTAAACGCCCACTGGAGATGGCGCATGCGGCAGTGACAGAAGCAGTCACTGCAATGCAGGTGTGCAGACACATGATGCCCATTGGGTGTTTCTCCCTGGTTCACTTTTATAAAGTGGACAGAAGGGCACACCAGCTCTAAAAGTCATAGGAAAGTGTGCAGTGCACAAAGCAACAGTGCGTATTAGTGTGTGAAGATGCACGAAGAGTGTATTACTGCAGGAAATGCAATAGAGTGTGCAGTAGCGTAACAACTGCCACAATGTGCAACAAATGTGTGAGTTGTTTGTGCCTTGGCTGTGTGAAGGCACTTAACTTCGATGACGAAGCCCATACCAATCTGGAGGCAGCTAAGGACCAGAGGGGATTGCAAGTGCGAAGATGCAGGCAGGCAGTGGACGAAGCTGCCTCCAGACTGCCAGGTCTGTGTCTTCAGTAGTACGCAAAGCAGCGTGCTCATGAAGGAACAATACGAGTGCTAACCAGAACTACAAGAGCAGTAATGAGAGAGGAAACAAGCCCGCTTGTTGTGATACTCCAGAACAAATAGGACTCATGCTTCCATTTTGCACCTCCGGCAAAGTTTCAAGGGTTATGGATGTGCTCTTGCAGATCTGGACGTTCGTTACAACGATCCCCACCCAGGTTTTGACCGTTCGAGTGTGAAGGGCACTGTGGCACGCCTGGTGAGGGTCCATGACCCCACGACAGTGACGGCTGTGGAGGTCGCTGCAGAAGGCAGACTCTTCAATCTGGTTGTGCAGAACGTCCACACGGCAAAGGCAATTCTCAAGAAGGGGCAACTGAAAAAGACAGTCACCTTCATCCCCCTCGACCAGGTGAGGGGGCCTTTTGGCAGTGTTGATGCCTGCGCCTGTGCCTCGTTGTGCCTGGCATCGCCTTCATACTCTGGGCAGCTGGTATGCAGGCTTGTGCCCGAGGCTGCCTCACAATTGCAAGGGCTGTACTTTGCCATTTCACGAGAAATTCACTCAGAGGATGTACACAAAACCCTTTGCTTGCCGATTGACCCATGGAGTGGTTGAATTCAAAGTGCTCTCTTGGTGATGCAGATCAGATATCGAGAACCGACTCAGAGGATGTTGTCGGAGGTCAAACGGATTGCTGGCCACAATGCAAAGCCTGCTATTGAATGTATTGCATACGACAGAAGTGTGGAAGCGGCAATGAAATATGCATTTGAGAATACCTTGATATGCAAGGTGAGTGCCCACAAAGAGGATTGCTGGGCAAGGTTTGGCACTTACAGGGACAATTGTACTACCCACAAGATATTGGCTATTCTCTGGTAATCATCTCATGGACAGGTTGCATGTGGGGCAAACAACCAAAGTTGACTGAATCTGAACCCCTGGCGTGGCTTTTGATGTGCAGGACGCAGACACTGCAAAGTCACTTGCGTTCAATCCTCAGATTGGCATGCGCTGCGTGACACTTGAGGGAGACCTGTACACTCCTACAGGTGATGAAATGTTTTGGCTGTGTCGTGGTTTAATTCAGTTCATGTGTCTACTGCAAATCGGTGTGGACAAAAAAGCAGCCTTTCCAACAACCAATCACATCAGAATAACGTCCCCCCAACTGTGATATCAATTGATCTGATGTGCCACACACAGGCACAGCAAATTTTGATTTCGTTGTGTGCCACATTGTACCTGGAATGTGCGGTCTAGCTTCCTGCACTGCATACTGTGTATCTCTGAGTGTGTGACTGCCTTTTACTACTGGGGTTTGATTGGTTGAGTTGATGCAGGTTTGCTGCAGTCTTATCATCGAATCTGGAATTGCTGGAGAGGCTGAAAACGAATTGGTGGGCGCCATTGTGCCCGCAGCCAGCCGTTGCCGTCACTGAATGCCGATGGTCACTGTTCATGCTGTGCTAGGCACACTCCGGGGGGGCTCACGGAACACACGAACATCTGTGCTAGCTCGACTGCAGCAACTGCAGGATGCCGAGCGCGAGCTCCAGCATCAGGAACAACTGCTGAGTCAGGCGAAGGAGGAGTGGAGCAAGAATGCTGCTCTCTCTGAGCATTACCAGAGGTATTTAAGGCCTGCGGTTGTACCATTCTGCTGCACCATTGTCTCATGGACTTTGTGCGATTGCCCTCGATGGATGAGATTTGCTGTCTGCACTGTTAAATGGGTGTTTTGGCTATTCAGGAATAATCCCATAACAATGATCCAGGGGTTTCGTGTGAGATGGAGACGCTGTTAGACTTCAGTACTTTCTGTCCTGTTTTCCATGATTTTTCAGGTTGCAGCAAGACTTGCAGGTTAAGAAAAAACGTTTTGACCTCCTGGAGAGCCAATACAAGATCAGTGAGGCCCATCAACTTGAACAGCATGTTGCCAACAGTCGGGAAGACTTGCAGCAGGCCCAGACATCCTTGCAGGAGGCCAGGCAGAGTCTCAGCGATGTGAAACAATTGCAAAAGGTATTCTCAAGCATGGAAGAGCAGGCAATGTTTGTTTGGACCAACAGAACGTGCCATTCTGCACCGAAATTCTGCCTTGCACATCATGGAATCGATCTGAATCACTGATTCACGATGCGGGCCTGTGCACCATCATTCCTGAACACGATGTGACTGACGTTGCCAGGATTTGGAGGAAAAAGTGGCCACATTTGAAACAAATCCTGTGCAGCTGATCAAGGCTGCCCAAGGAAAGCTTAAAAGGGCGAAGGCGCAGCACGAGGAGTTGAAGAAGACAGCACAAAAGAGAGGGAATGTAAGTGCAGTGGCATGGTGACAGTGTGTCTGGACCATGAGGCATTATTGCATGGCCGAAAAGCAATGAGAGGAGTGTTGACTTGCTGTTTTTTTTGACCAGGAACTACAAGCTGCTGTCGCCAAAAAGGAGGGAGCAGATGTGGAGAGACATGAGCTGAGGCAGCAGCTTGTGGAAGCGGAGGCGAAGCTGAAAGGTGGGCATGCAGCTGTACATGTGCGTGGATTCCACAATGTGCATGTTAATTTTCTCCCATAGCCTGTGCATCCTCACTGCCACTTATACTTGCACACCAGCAGCTGAGAAGCAGAGTGCTTACTTCTTTTTGCTTCTCAGATTGCATCAAACTTCCAAAGAAGATTGCCACTCCAAAATGCTGCGGTGCTGCTGGCCACCCGATGTTGTGGGTGAATGGACGAAGGAGCATTTTGTTTGCATCCCTTCTTTGCAGAGCAAAGTAATAAGTGCGTTTATGTGCTTTCCCAGATCTTGAGCAGGACGTCTCCCAGCTGCAGCAGGATGCTGCACAACTGCAGAATCAGCATGATGCTGCTTGTGCAGAGCTCCAGAGGAAGGGAGCTGAGCTTTCTGGCTGCGAGGAGCAAATTGTTCAACTGAAGGCAGAAAAGGAGCAGCTCAACAGCCGTTTGACGGCTATCAACATCGAGAAACAGCGGGAGGCCCAGGGGTGAGCCATAATGTTACAAATACAGTGTTGCATGAAGTTGCTAGTTCCTCTGTAAGCAAAGCTCCACATCAACGGCCCTCTCTCCTTGACAAGCTTTTTGTCCAACTCTTGCACAATACCTGAATCGGTTCTGCCACTTAAACGTGCCTCTTTGCACCAGGCTGAAGGCCGTTGAGGACAAGATTCGATTGGCATCCAATAGGGCTCACGAGTTGATGCAGGTAAACTCTGTTCGAAGAATGAACAGCTGTGAAACGTTTACCACGAATGTGCAACCCCTTCACCTTGTCTCCTCACCAGCAAGGAACCATTAACCTCTGTTTCCTTTTCCACCTTTGCTTCAACATGGTCTCACATACTTGGTTTAACAAGCAGCATAAACCTATCTATCGTCGGCAACATCTTCTACATTGGAAAAGACTTGCACTGATTTCCTGCTCAGGGGTTGGCGGCCTGCGTTGAAGACACTCAAAATTTAGAGAATGGACACACTGCTGTGAATCAACCAGCGAACCAACCACTGCTGATGTGCAGGAGTACAAGTGGATAGCAACAGAGAGGCGACACTTTGGCGCCCCAGGATCCCAGTACGACTGGTACTCCACCGACCCAAAGAAGAAGCTTGCTGAGATGAAAGAGGCACAACGTACAGTGCAGCAGCTGGACAAGAAGGTCAACAAAGCGGTAAGATGGGAGGTCAGCATGTCCGATTCAGCCCTTACTGCAGTGGTTCAAGCATGACAAAGCACTGCCATTAGCCCGGCACCTTCGGTCGTGCAAGGGAACAAGGCAGATTGCAGAACATGCAGAACCGATCTAACTATGACAATGGCAAACCGAACCTGAGCAAATTCAGGGCACCACTGTGCCACGGTGTTGCCATCAAAGTGCGCCGCTGCTGTGTTGTGGAAAGGGCACGGTGTATTTGCTTGCAGTGGCATGGGAATGCGGTATAACGAGCGGTCTACAAGTAGTATAACGAGCAGCATGATACGAGTAGCATAACATGAGTGGCATAACGGGGAGCATAAAGAATATTTGCATGGAACACATGGCATTGGGGAAGCTGATTGGTAGGACTCTGCAACCCTGTGGATTTCCAGCATTCTCAATTGCAACCAATGTCAAACATTTGCAAGGTACCAGTGAAATCGACGCAGGGAACGTGAGCTAGCACATTCAGGGGAGGCCATATGCAGTGACGTTGAGTAGTGCCACTGCAAAGTGCAAAATGCCTGTTGCTTCATCTGCAGTTGTGGCTTTTCTGATTTTGTGGCCTGTAGCTTGAGGTTTGCAATGATATGCTCACTGGCAGATGGCCCAATCCTTCCCTTGCCAAGCCAAAACTCCTGTCTCGCTGTGTAATTATGCAACCCCCTCTCGATATTGATTGCAAACCATCGAAGAAGATGTCATGCCAAGTGGGGCAAGAAATTGTTTCTATGTGTTCCCTCAGCCCCTCCGCACTCCTCTGCAGATTGTCTCTCACCCTGCAGGAAACAAACTGGAGATGATTGTTGGCAGTAGTGACCCAGCAAGGCAGTCTGCAGGCTGTGCTCGCAGGAGCAATGGGCTGGAACAGGCAATGACCGTGTTTGGCTTGTGATGTAGGCGCTTACCATGTTTGAAAGGATGCACAATGAGGTCGAGCAGCTTGTGGAGAAGAGGAGGATCGTGGAGGCTGACAAGGCGAAGATCGCAGAGGTGGGCCACTCTGTCTATTGCCTTCTGTTTGGCAGAGTTGCTTTGGAAGACCCGCTTTTTAACAAAGAGTCATTTGCAGAAGCGTGCAGAAGTTGGGGTGCCCTCACATCAGCCTCACTGAGCCATAGTCTGGGGCACAGATTGATTGTGCGTGGCACCCATGTTACAATTGACACCATGTGAAAGGGGCAAGGGCCCTTTTTTTCTCCAAAGGGTGGATTTTCAATCTATGTCAAAGCATACATATATGCATGGCAGATCTTCTGTACTGTTGTCACGTGAAACGGATACCAGCATGCCTTGGTGGGGTCCTATGCTGCAGCCCTCTGTTCCGGTGGATAAAACAGCAACAATCCTTTTTTCACCGTCAGCCACATCCTTTTGCTTACTTTGTGCAAGACAAAGAACAACATATTCAGATTCAGCATTTGTGGCACTGACATGCTTCTGGCTACTGCAGCCATTGCGATCCAAAATACCTGTCTGGTCGCTCCAGCATTGTGTGGTGCCAGACTCACACAGTATGCACAGAACATACAGTATGTACAGTACATGTGGCCTTTGCTGGTTGTGTCATTGCCTTGTGTTGCTCCCAGGTGATTGCACAACTCGACGAAAAGAAACAGGAAGCTGTGCAAGCGACGTGGCAGAAGGTCAACCAAGAATTCGGGAACATTTTCAGCACCCTGCTGCCTGGAACCAGCGCCAAGCTGGATGCTCCTCCAGGGATGTCCTTCCTGGAAGGTATGAGACGCCAAGGACACCAAAACGCACTTTTTCGCAATAGTTTGGAACGCATTTTAGTGAAATCGATGGAGCATGGGCTTTGTACTTTGCAGGCAATGGCAAGGAGAATTCGGCAGGCAGGAAATAGTCCCCACCTGTTTGCTTGTCCCCTCCGGACCAAAAAGCGAAGTAAGGAAAGATAGGCTAACTTGTTTGCTCTTGTCTTCCCAAACGGCATGTCTGGTCACTAAGATGTGTCATCAACTTGTCTATGCATTGGCCCCAGTTGGCTGTTGTGTCATCCAGTGGGGGGTTAAATGGCGCTCAGCATAGTTCACCAGAGCCCCCAAACTGCGCTGATGCTGTACATCCCCTTTGTACATCCACATTGCACCACGTATTGGGCAAAGTTGGTGGGTGTATGCTTACATCGTGAACAGTGAACCTTCGAATGTTGTGCTGCGCACCAGCAAAACCAACATGAAGGTTCTTGGATTTCGCCCATACAGAGAAGGGCAGTCTAGCTAATGTCCCAAACAACTATGCCCATAGTAAGAGACTGGGCGTCAAGGCAGCTGGCAGATCTCATGAGGCCTCGCCACAGGGTAGCCATGTGTCGTGGGCGGTTTCTGTTCTTCAAGTCGTCTGCACGGAGCCCTTGCTGACTGCATGTGTATGCAACTTTTCCAGGTCTGCAGATTAAGGTGGCCTTTGGAAATGTGTGGAAGGAATCTTTATCAGAACTGAGTGGAGGCCAGAAGTCTCTGCTTGCCCTTTCGCTGATGTTGGCTATGCTGTTGTTCAAGCCTGCGCCCATTTACATATTGGATGAGGTGAGGAGTTCTTGTGCAGCACTTACTAATAGTTCGTGTTTGCAGTGCTCTGATGTGCACAATACTACTCCAGGACATTCAACCCTTGGGCATCGAAATTTTTTCCATTATGCTTTTTGCTCCGCAGTTTTTTTCAGAGCGTTTTTTTTACATTGCTCCACAAGAATTCTATTGAAAGAGCATCACGTATTTTATCGTTTTCTCCGCAAAAAAGGACAAGCATTACGCAACTATGCGGAAGGGTTGAATATTGAGCCCATGTGCCACGTTTCGGCACCCACAGTCCTGTTGCTGGCCCTGCAGAGGTTGATTTGCGTTATTGAAAAGGCAGCTGTGCGCATGCAAAAAATTTAAAGATTATGGTTGCCAGGGAGTGGCGAAGCACCGCCATTGCAGATTCCAAGGCAAATGTGGGTACGGTGCATATATGCCAGCATGAACTGCATGTGAGCTGTGCCATCTGTTGCATTTGTCCCATGCCATATGTTCAGATACCACGAAATATTCAACCCTTCTGCAATAGAAAAATTACACCGTTATGCTTTTTGCTCCGCAATGTGTTTTTCAGAGCATTATTCTTATTGCTTCTTGCGTTGCTCTGCAAAAAGTGGCCAAGCATTGTGTTATTTTTTAAAAATTTTCTCTGCAAAACAACGCCAAGCGTCATGTTGCTGTGCGGAATGGTCGAATACTATATGGTACATGGCATTGCCATATCCAGAATCTTGCTGTCTGGAACCTTCGACACCTGCATTGATGTTATGTGCAAAACCATGACAAGCGTTGCCCAAGCACAAATGAGGCAGTGTGGATGTGTGGACTTCAGATATTTACCAGTGTATCTGGGAAACTATGACACAGGTTGACTCGGCATTGGACTTGAGCCACACACAGAATGTGGGGTTCATGATCAAGCGTTTCTTCCCTCAGAGCCAGTTCCTGATCGTCTCCCACAAGGACGGCATGTTTAACAATGCCAATGTCATCTTCCGAACACATTTTGTAGATGGGGCTTCTTCGGTCGCGAGGACGGTGCCACAGCGCAGGTGAACAGAAAGAAAGGAACTCCAGATGTTGCCTACACAGTAGCCTGCTCTGCTTGGTATTCTGATCAACGGAATATGTTCATTGGGGCTTGCAAGTAGAGTATCTGTTCGGTTCACGAGTGTGGATTTATGGCATGTTGCATGCATTCATTGTTCTGCACGCATTTCTTTCTGGCTTGATTTGAGGATCTACAGTGGCTGCAGGGATGGCGTGATTGTTGGATGCCAGGATGATGCAAGACATCCAATCGCTGCATGGTGCCCCTATTGTCAGCTGTTTACAGACAATTAAGTTGTGTGACGAAATGGATTTTGAGGTGCTGCTTTTGAATCCATGTTGCCCGATGTGGTGTTCGTTCGACACCATCGCCTCAATTATAGAAGCAAAATCTGACGTGCATTCCATTTGTGCAGGCGGAGATCATCTGGTGGCGGTGCTTCCCGCCGAGCCACCCTGGGCAAAGAAAACATAGCACAGAATTGAGGGATGTGAGGAGCAGGATGCTTGGCAGTGGCAGTGTTGTAGGACTTGCAAACACAATTATGTTTACTTAATACTGTTATATTAAGATTTCCATGTATTTTACCCATTTTCCAGCCGTACAGTCTGATATTGTGTCGAGACTGATGTCCCTAACATGCTCACGCTGGCAGCACCACACAATATCTGCCGAATCGATATTGTCCAGTGCCCCGACTTGAGCAGCTTCTCCCTCCCCCTGCCTCGATGTTCTTTTGCCTTCGGCGCTCCATGGCTCAGTCAATTTGGGTCTTTAATATTTCCAATAGTTTAATTGTATTGCCATGATCAGTTCGGTTACGATCAGTTGTGATGCAGGATCAATCGTGATTGTACCAGCATCGTGAACATTAGCGATCTGACTGCATTAAAGAGGAACTAAAGGATGGATTGGTTGCAACAGCGTTACACCAAACCTCCTGTTTGAGCGTTTGACAGAGCGTAGCTTGGACACAATCACTGGTGTCCTGATAACTACCCGAATTGCCTTTGAACGTCAAAAACTACAGATGCAGTACTTCAGAAGGGCAGGATGTGCCTATTTGCAACTTTTGCTGGGACTGATAAAGACCATCTTGAAGAAAATCACAGCCAAAAATACTCTGGCTCAGCTCAGATTTTTCAAAAGGCAAAAGTGCCTACATTCCACTTGTCGACGCACTTTGCATGTCATTGTCCTTTGAAACACGGACCGCGGTTGATGGTCCCCAACATGCTTGGCTGGCAAACTGACCTGCGCTAACCCAAAGAGACGCTGCTGGGATCCAATCCAAGAAAAATGGCTGGTGAATACCAGAAATGGTTGCCAGCCAAGTACAACCGCCCGCGCCAATACGAGCACAAATGGTCTACGTGGTCCAACCATGCACACAACTGTATAGTTCAGGTTCCCCATAGGCAGGCCAATGACGGTACTCTTGGAGGCTGACTGGGCCCTCGAACACAAATTGATGCATTGTGACTCAACAACAGGGAACGTCCCGTACTTTAGGTCCAACACCACGCATCCATTAATTAGGCCAAACTTTGTTCCATGTTCTATCTTTCATATTGATATATGATAAACTTATATGATATATGATAAACTTATATCTTATTATCTTATATTTTTATGATAATCTTATATCTTAAAGTCTCATATGATAATCTACCAAAGTCTGATGGACGACTGCCATCCTGCAGCCACCAAAAGGAGGCAATTAATTCAATGTTCGGGTCGCCCATTAGTGGGACTCATCAAAAGATTGGTAAATTAATGATATCACTCCACGTGAAGTCCAGATATGGTGCAGAGGAGATGTCGACAGCCTAGCACCTTCGTCACACTGATCATCATTAAGCAGTTTGGCGCTGATTGAGATGGGAACCCCCAAGTCATCAGTCAGGCATGCTACATATTTTCTAGCATTGCGAGCTCAAGGCACTTAGAGCACAGGGAGATGACTTCGATAACAAAGATAGACTATGGCAGCTTCATCAGACGCCCAATGAGTCCACTAGGATATTGTAAAGATGCTGAGCACAACGCCAGTACATGGCAGCGCATCACACGGAGACATGAGTCAGGCACGCCCGGAAACGCCTTGGAATGCCGAGGAGCACCGAGGTTGCCATTGGACGCGTGCATTTGCTTAGGGGCTGCCCGCCTGGCGGTCTGCCATGGATAGCAGTGAGACGGAGCCAGGAGGGGCGCATGGAGGCGCCACGTGGTTGTTTAATGGGAATATGCCCTGTGGGGTATTACGTGGTTGCTGACTATGAGAAGTGTGGCTGTTTGATGGGAATGTGGCCCTTGGGGCATTGCGAGGTGGCTGATTGTGGGCATTGGGGCGTACCGGGTGGAGTTGCATTGAAACGATGGGTGTGGCAGAAAGATTCCGGGTATCAAAAGAGCATCTCTTAGAAATGGGGGTATTTGTTAGAGCTAGGGATGTGACAAGTACTGTGGGCATGGTGAAAGCTGCAAAAACTCTCTATTGTTGCATTCGGTTTGGCAGCTATAATAACGGTTGCGCGGCGTTTGCGTGTGCCTCTCGCAGTAGTCTGGGCATTCAGCCTGGCTGCCTGACTCCCCTGACCATGTGCGCAATGTTCACCATGGCCTGAGCACAATAGCGCTCAACCTTTCCAAAGTTCGCAGCCAGCCTGTGTCTTTTCTGAATCGTTTTCTTGTTGTTCAAGACCAACTGTTGGTCACCAATATTACCAACGCAGTTCTGCTGCTGGCCCAAAGCGACCATCCTTTGTCACTCCACAGCTTCATTGAGGCGGAAAAAGCATCTTTTGTGTATCGTATCACTAGCGCTACATTGTGGACAAGGCTGCCTCGACCCGTGGGGTCGATGTGATGTAAAGCACAGGGAGTAGTATGTTTCTCTATCAAATGGGCTCTTCGGAGGTATAAAATACCATGACCAATACGATTGAACATCTCATATGATAGTAGGTTTCATTAGGAGCTCATAGGTTTTTGAACCACCTCCATCGGGTTAGTGGAAGAGGAGATATGGTTAGATATATTACCAGTACTTAAGACCCCCTCACCCAAACCGTATTGAGGGATGAGATACAATCATATGGCCTAGTGGCCTCATTATCACGTGATCCGGGCAGTGGCCACACCCCCCAAAGGGTGACCATACACCGTAAGACTGTAATTCCGATTCTCTTGCTCTCATTAGCAACTGCACCCATGAGCTGCATGGCGCCGCGCTCCCATAGCGAGCATAGCTGCCCCCTGCCCGGCCACTTACAGGCCTAGGCCCACACTGCGAACCCAAAGACACGTGCGCCCTGGCAAATCCCGCTGGCCACCCTGGCGAAGGAAGCCATTCGGGCCTCATCGGAAGCCTCAATGAGCACATCGCCCGCACCACGACTGAAACCACGCCAACTAACTTGTGCCATAGCCTCGTTGTCCTTTGGGGAGTGGCTACGACCGGTCGTGACGCTCTGGGGGGCAGTTGTGAGAGGTTCTACAAGTGCGCTTGCACACTTGACGGTCAATTGGATGTTCGTTGTTGATGTTTGGATGTCTGAAGCTTCCCTTGCCGTCGCTGCTAACTTGGGTTATTAACATCGCCGTGGCAAGCAGCTCTTTGGGAAGGGCCAGTTCGAGCGAGGGCCCCTTGCCGAGGGGCAAATCTTGTTCATTGAGTACACCCTCAACTGACGTGGTGCTGACGTGGCTGTCGTGCTGACGTGGTGCTGACGTGGCTGTCGTGCTGACGTGGCTGTCGTGCTGACGTGGTGTCGACGTGGCTCAGCTGCTCGTTCAGGGGTGATAAGACTGCGCTAACTCCGAGGATGATGGCCCGAATGGACCGCCGTGCTTTGCATCAATTTAACTCAACTTAATACTACTCTATTTTCGTTTGTTTCGTCTTTCCCCTTGAAGTCGGATGGAACGTTGGTCAAATTTGATTGCACACAGGCGACTCTAAATGCCTCTCAGCCATTCACCCAAACTACCGTCCATGCCAAGTCGTTCTACAATAGCCTCTGCAAAATCATTTTCCATCCACAGAATTCAATGTCAAACTCTGACGTCAGCCTGTTCTCAATTTCCTAAGCTTGTTGCACGTAGCATCACTTCTGATGAGCTTCACACGCCCATTTGACTGCAGCTGATAAATAGAGTTCGCAAGCGAGATCACCCAATGCACACCCACCGCAACCACCCTTGCGTTAATACGAGGCCACTCCAGTTGCGAATACAGAAGAGTACAGCAATGGTCAGCAATTGCAATAATGTTGCTGACTTCCTACATGCTGTGCGTGCACATTCCTAGCCCCCCCTCCCCCACCCCCCCTCTCCCTCCTCTTGTCTCAATCTGTTATGAAAACAATCCAAGAAACACGAACAATAGTGTGCAGCAGATCCACCTTTTGGATTGCAGTTCATCATCAGTATGTTTAAATGCCACAAGCCAATTCACCCAGCTTTGATGAACATCCAATACATTTTGGCCATTGTCAACACAACACTACCGAAAGCAACCCGAAAGCAAAATAATCTCCCTCCCAAAGCTGCACACCTTTGCCTGGTTGCATTCTCACCTTCCAGTACTGTGCAATCTATCTGACGCAAAAGTTTCTCTACGGCATCATGCATGTCCAATACATACTTCTGGGCAGCTACTTGCTGCTCATACTGTCATGCTCACTGTTGGTGCCCGCACTTAGAAATCTGAAACTCTTTCAAGGCCTGGCATATTTCATCATCACCCAAAGGGGTGTGCGTCCTTTGTGAGAATGAACCACAACCAAAAGGGGTGTGCGTTGAGAATGAGCCACAGTACATGTCGCTGGATCCTGCAGGCCAAATATGGGGACCAAGCCTTGCAAGTGCTCCTAGCATCGAACTAATGCTCTCGGCAGCAACGCCACGATCATGCAACGAAGCCATTGCAGACAGGAGCTCCGCTTTTATTGGAGAAGCACTGGAATGAGCAACGAGGCTACGCAGGATGACACATTGGCATTTCTTGCGCAAAGACTCCATGCCCAAACAGTCCGCCAGTCCCAGCCACTTTGCAGCATCGTGCCATTCCTGGGTCTGCCCAGGTTGCAGAGCCGACCCTGATGGCTCTCGAGGTTTAACAAAGTAGAACGAATCTCCCAGTTCGCAGATCGCCTGCTCTGAGACTCGGATCAAAATCTTGGCATCGTATTTGTCTCCCAAGCTAAGTGCCGTCCATGCTTGCTTAAGCTGCACAGGCGGCAAACCAGTCAGCTACACACTTGCAGATTGGAATTTGCAAATTTACAGATGAATTCAACTGTTTGCTGGCAGCGAGGACAGTGGCAAACAGCGCTTCGGAGTAAAATGCCCAAGCAAAACTTCGAAATGTGACATGCGATTTTTTCTCAAGTCATATCTATGCCTCATCAATGTTGTTGGTAGATGCATCCTGCAAATGATAATATGCAACATTCAAAACAGCGTGTGGATCATCCAATTCATAATTTCATGCAATGAAGCACCACTGACTCTTACCGAATTCAGCTTCAGTATCTGGCCGTACATTATCGCCAACATCAGCCTTGTGTCTTCAGCAGACACCGAGTCATCCAGCGTAACCCGCAGCATGCCATCAACAGTGGAGCTATCCCCACCCTTGAGATCGGACAGCATTTTACAGAAGAATCGAGAGTGAAGAGCAATCACAGCCCCATGGGCTGGGATACCCTGTCCTTGGGCGATCAGACTGATGTCGCAGAGGTTAGCATACTCTGCATCTTCCGGCATGTACTGCAGATCTTCTTGCATTGCCTCTGTCATGGTTAATCTTCAGCTAGGCTTCCTGCACACAGGAGTTCTCCAAATTCGTTGTTCTACTCAATCGCACGTCAATGCCAAAAGGGAAAGGTAAGATGGATCCCGTTCCAGCGAATGAGATTCAAGGCGGGGACACGCCTGGAAATGGGTACAAGCAAAGGCAGGTGATGCACATTCTAGTGCTGGGGTTCTATGCGTTTTGACAACAACAGCAGCAGCAACCCATCCACACCAGAGCAATAAATTTCCCTTTACAAAATATCAGGAGGGCAGGTGCCGCACTGTCCTGAGCGTCTGCAACCAGACGATTCATCGAAGAGGTGTCAGAGAGCAAATGGCTAACAATGCATGCCGCTGACTGTCGTAATTTTGTGCAACATAGCGACTTACATGCAGACAATATGTGTGTGGCTGTTCTCTGCACTGATGTGCGAGATGATGTGTGAATCGTTTGCTTGCTCTTGTAGAGATGCATCTGATTTGCAAAGGGAATGCTCTTGAAAGGGCCAGTGGCTCGGGTGTCAATCTGCCAGCCACTCAAATGTGCGGCAAAACAAAACACAGACCAGGGGACCGCAAGGGGCCAATAGGCATGCAGCACCTAGCACTTTCTCAAAGCGATTCTCTGGTTTTCTGATGAAGGTCTAAATCGCAGCCAACAGGGGCCTGCACTCTTTCACAATGCAGCCACTGGGCCCCTCCAACAACGTCCCGGAGATTTCTCTCCCCAGTGGCTATGGTGAGGAACAAAACTTGGCAAATGGATTCAACAGGATTTCGTCTGGAAATTGAGTAGGCAGAAATGCAAATGGAGACATTCAGCATAAGGAATCTTCCGCACATCGCCTTGCAGTTGTGACGGTGATGCTTTTGCGACATTGCTGCAGATTCGATGAAAACGAGGTACAGTATCGTATTGTCTTGCCTGGGGTAACTAGATACTGGGATACACACTGATGTACACATCTAGACATATGGGGCATAGCTCAGGCACTCCGCCTGTCCCTTCTGTTGACAGGTTCCCAGGCGGCACCTCTTGCACACGGGAATGTTATATGCCAATGAGTCGTTGCCTTTACAACAATGTGGTCATCATTGCACTCCAACTTCCTGTGATGATTGCATCAAATGATTAAAACTGCTTTGGTGTTTGTTGACGAGCTTCAAGGCGGGACACTGAATATGCAGACCATGGTGTTGGCGAAAGCTGGCAAAAACAAATGCCTGAGATAGCACAGCTTACCCCTGTTTCAATGCATGATGCATGAATGACGTATCATCAAAGTGATGTGTTTGTTCATGCTGCCAGATCCAATGTTTGCCATGTTGCATTCACACTTAATGTTATGTACAAGCAGGCTTGGTTTTTACGCCGTAAAAACTGATCGTGTTTACGTTTTTACGCGTAAAAATAGTTTTTACGTTTTTACACGTAAAAGTGCGTAAAAATACGTAAATACAACGTAAAAACTGACAAGTGTACATAAGGACAGTACATGCAGATTTACAGAGTCCGGAGAGTGGCAGCCAGACACCTTCCAAGAGGCAGAAGACGAGTTTTTGTTAAGCGCCATCATCGCCCTTGCCAAGGGCGAAGTGGACATTGTGTTGCGGGTGCTGGAGATGGCGGAGGACTGGTTATTGAACGCAGCTTTTGCCGTGTAATCTGCGTGTAGCAGGGGGCCGTAAAAACGTACAAATAGCCGTAAAAATAGGCCCTTTTGCAAATTTAAGTTTTTACGCGTAAAAACGTAAAAGTAAAAACGTAAACGTAAACGTAAAAATCAAGCCTGTGCACAAGTCTGACACATGGCGATCTTGATCAGGTGGGCACCCATGGCATGTCCAGTTTTGCATTTTCTGGTGTTGTCAAAAACCAGACCTTGCCATAGAGGTGCAAAATACTTGTCCAAGGTGGAAGCGTCGATGAAAGTACACAGTTTAGAACACTCAAGCCTTTGCCAGCTGCCTATAATGTAGGCAATATGGCTGTTTCCCATCCAAGTTGGGACGAGTCTAAAACATTCTAGATCGAATGCACAGACATTCGAAAACAAACAGATCCAGGAATGCAAGTGAAGCCATGTGTGCTGAATGCCAACAGCAACCAAGCACGACCTTTGCAAGCCACAATGACCCTAGAGCCCAATGGGAAGGCAATCTGGGGACTACCTTGCCCAACCTCACCTTGCTAATAATAGCACAAGCCCATGTCTTCAAGGCAAGGTGTCCATAGCCTGAGGAGTTTCTGCGCCCAAGCCAACATCCCATGATATTGTCAAGCAGGGCTGGTTACAAAAGTACGCTTTTTATACCAAGGTGGTTGGGAGCACTTTCTTTGGGTCGGAGGGGGGAGGGGGGGGGGGGGAAAGGAGAAAACTGTTTGCGCGCCCACATCATGTGCTTCCCAGTCACACTGAAATTCGATTTCTGCAGCAGGAACTCCTGAGCCTGAAAAAATACATTGTGTGGTGCTGTTCCACAGAGTTGTATTTGAGACTGTGGGGGTAGTGGGGTGGCACATGGGTGGCCCTGGACATGGCCATGATACCTTCTGTCGGTTTGTGTATTGCGGGTATAGCATGGACGGTGACATGCATATTTTTGCCTTAACACCATATGCAGCCAATCTTCTCCTGAGCATGGGTTTTCTCATTTTTTCCTTCCTTTTCTGGGGCCTTCTGCCCCGAGGCAAAAAACAGCTGCAGAGGCAACTGGGCCAAACCCTGTCATGACCGCTGCGCAATCTTTGGTCCATTGCCAACACCGCCAGTCGCAATGCACACGCACTTTGCCCCCACTATACGCACTTTGCACATGCCCGCTTCCCAGCCATGCGAGGGTCGAAAAGGACGCCGGCGACAAAATGCCAGCACTCAGACACTCCCGGACCTCCTCCAGCGGGTCCTCCCGGCGAAGATCCCGCTCCCCAGCGAATGGCACCAGCTCGGGGCGGCAGGGACAAATTCCACCCCCATCGCTCCCGCCATTTCGGCTGCACGGCGGCGATCAACCCGGGACGACCGCGCCCAACTGCAAAGCGAAAATCAGGAACAAGAGAAACAGGCATTTGCTTCCCCGCCGGCATCTGCAGCCCCTCGCCCTGGGATTGCGATTCTCGCAACGCCACAGTATCTGATCTGCCATTGCTATCCCGCCGCGTTCATCGCCGAGAGGGAACCCGAAGGGCTGCTTTCCTGGCACCGCCCGTTGCAGGCTCCCCCGTGTCAGAACCGACCTGAGCAGCCCCGACGGCCGCGCGCCCTCCCTCGCCACGCCCGCTGGCCTGCCTGGCGAACTCCCAGGGGAGGATACATGGGAGTCCCCCTGGTCTTTCCCGCTGACAAGGCCAACAGGGTTTTGTTTTGTGTTTTAGGGTTTTGTTTAGGGTTTTGTTTCGAAACCAGAAGAGATCTTCACGGAAAAGACGGAGCGACAAATTTCATGCCCTCCCAGAGCTGCGGCTGAGCAGTCCGCCTTGGCGTGGCCTCAGGGGCGCGCCGGCATATGCAGTTGCTCTCGTGGTCGTCTGGACGACACCTCCTGACTGGGAATGTGTGGTGGTGCGGGAAGGTCATCACAAAGTAGCTATAGGAAATTGGCTCGCATTCTGCATAGTGAAAGCTTGCTGCCGTTTTCTCTTCCCACTGTGGAAACAACTTTCAAAAAGGCGTTTTTTTTAATTGCTAAGGAAAATTTTCTACGAGGTTTCTACCACGGAGGTGTGCAGTGCCGCAATTGCCCAAATTGTCCAGTCCAACCAGCACTTGGGGTCGAGGTAACAATAATTTGTGTATGCTATTTACCAAGGGGCATGCATATGGAATTACCAAGTGCAACATACCGTATTTACCCGGTATTAGTAGGCACCCCCTATTAGTATCCGCCCCCTTCCTTGGCAGTCGAAACCACGTTAGTATCCATGACCCGGTGTCAGTATCCAACCCAAAATCCCAACAGAAACGAGCTGGAGAGGGCTCATTGAATTCGCCTTGGGGAGAGAAAGCTAGTCTTCATGTCTTTGTTTGACAACACTCTTGTTGCATGACCTCAACGTGCGACAACTGCCAAAAAAGCTGCTCATCCTGTGGTGCGATGCATGTGGTGGCTGCAAGCCTCACAGCTGGAGCATCTGATCTGATGGGAAAATTTTCTATTCGCTTGTCGAGCGACTGCAGGCCATGCGTCTATGGCACAGTTGATGGCCTAGAGTTGCCAGCAGACCTGGCGGCTTTGATTGTTTATGTAACAATTCTCACCCAGGCGCTCGCCTCTGGCAGTCACACTAGATCCCGCGGCGCCTCGTTGCACAACAACTATTGTAAAGTGCATCCAACCACTTCAACTACGCGCAGTGTAGCCTGTCAGCCACACACACACGTGCCTGCCATGCGCCATGGGGTTTTCTTCGACATTTCCTGGCTGTTGGGGGAACGAGATGGTTGTTTTTGGCGCTACTAGCACCGGTCCGCGCCTGGTGACATGCATGCCATACGACCAGCCGTCACTCCTGGCGCTTCTCACAACCAGTCTCCACACACTCTCGGCCAAGCTCGCCCAAGCTTGCCTTTATCTTGGCCGGAGGTGCTCCAATCGATCCAGACGGCAGGGCCGCCATCCACCTCAACATGCTGGCATTTCCCGTCCAAATTGTCGATGACCGGGGAAGATGTTGATGAGGATTTTGAAGGCTTTGCACCAGATATGGATGCGGACAGCGATTGATCGTGAACGCGTTTCGGTGTTTCTGTTTGGGATTTTGTGGTGGCAACAGCGCTGTCGCTTATATTATGGATTTGTCAATAATATCGTGTCTGTGATTTTGTAATTTTGATTGGGTAATGTCGCTACTTCAGCATCGAATCTTGCATTATTTCAAAGCTCCTTTGTGCATTTCAATAGCTATTTTAAAATTTTCTCTGTGCAATCCTTGGATCAGGGGGTCTAAGCATCGTTAGTATCCATGACCCACTATTGGCATCCACTGCCCATTTTGAGGGTCC